TAGCCAATTATCTAGCTCAAAATCAACCACAATAAAGTTGGAAATTTGTAACCCGAAGCTGAAATTTACAACTACAAGCTGAAATTTTCTATAATCAAGCCAAAATAACATATAAAAGGTAGAAAATTCACATGGCAAAACTACTAAATCATAGCCAAGCCCAAATCATCATATCAAAGCTGAAATTTCTCACTAAAAGCTAAAATTTTCCAACCACCACACAAACCATGAAAACTACAAAATCAAGCCTTAAATTCACTCATATGCAAGTTATAAAAAAAAAAGATGGTTTCTTGATGTAGTTACCATGATAGCCTATGAAGAAATGGAAACCAAGAGCTTCTTTCTCCCAAATGCCTCCACCAAAGTCCTTAATCGTTCCTAAAGGTTACCTTTTATGGAATAGTTTGTAAGATTAAGGTGAAAACTCAAGGATTCAAGCAAGATTGGAAGTTGGAAGTTGAAGTTTTTCCTCTCTTTTCTCTCTCAAAGTGGCCGGCCAAAGGACGAGAAAAATGAAGGATTTTTGGGTCAAATTTTGTTTTATTAAAGGCTAAGAATGGTTGTAGTCAGAATCAAAGCTCCAAGGCTTTGGTGACAAATGGCCTTCCAAGGTTAATCCTCATCTTTTTGTCTTCCAAATGCTAAAATATCTGGCCAACAACTAATTATCCTTTAATACCTTATAAAATAATATCCCTTTGCACAAGACTCCTCTTAATCTTCAAAAATTTATCGCACACACCTTGCTAGTGTGTCCTACTTCCATAATGTACTACGAACTTATCATGCACTAATTTATACAAGAAAAATGGTTTAAAAAACTTAAGTCACTTATAATGATATCTAGGAAATTAAGGCAACCAAATAAACAAGTAAAGTAAAATTAAAAGGAAATATAAATTAAATTTCCAAAAATAGGGAAAATTTTAAAATAATTTTTGGGTTCTCACACTCTCTCCCCCTTAAGAAAATTTCGTTCTCGAAATTTTTACCTTCCATTGCCTCAAACGACTCTGAAGCCTGTTGCTTGTCTATGGCGTATACGCATGCTGGCACTCTTGATCTGTTCCCTCTTTCATTAGCTTGTCTAGGATTAGTTTTATTCTCTTGTTGAGCATTATTCCCTCGTTGCTGCTTTTTCAGACAATTGCTAATTTGATGGTCGGTACTCCCGCAAACTAAACATTTTCGTCCCTTCCTCCAGCAATCATTCTCAGTGTGATTTGTTTTCCCATAATGTCCACAAGTCAAGTGAGAAGCCACTTTTTGGCCCTCTCGAGAAATTCTTTCTTGTTGCCCTTTTGCTACTTGACTTTCTCTTGTAGAACCTTCTTCTAGTATTCCTAATGTTTATGGTGGGTAAGATGAATGGTTCGCTCGTTTTGCTTTAGGAGGCATTGTATTTTCTCTAGATTCCTCATGTGTATTGTTAGGTGCACTCCTCTTGCGTGAGTGGAAAACTTTTACCTGTGCCTTTGCATTATCAATCCTTTGAGCTGTCTTAAGAGCTTCCATAAAAGTATTAACTTAAACCGCCACTAAAGCTTCTTAGATTTCCAAATTCAATTCTTGTATAAATCGTCTCACTCTCCTCCGCTCCGTAACCACCAATTCAAGAGCAAATTTGGACAATTTAGTGAATTGTGTTTCATATTCGGCCACACTCAAGGTTCCCTGGTGTAATCTAATAAAATCATAATCTATTTTCTCTTGGACCAAAGGTGGGAGGTATTTCTCATTAAACTCCCTTATAAAATTTACCCAAGTCCATGCAGTCTATTCTCTCTCACTTTGCCGTAATAACATTCCACCATACTCGGGCTGGTCCTTCAAATTGAAATACAGCAAAGTTCACCTGTCTTTCCTCTGTGAAGTTCAAAACTGTAAAGATATTAATTATCGCCTCCAACCAATGCTCAGCTGTATTTGGATCAGACCCTCCAAGGAATTTCGGTGGAGAAAACTTTTGAAAATGCTCTAGGGCCCTATCCTCACCTATCTCAGGATTCCTAGGTTGATTCATTGGAGTTTGGCCTTGTTGCTCTACTAATTGCGCTAAGATATTGGTCATTTGTTGTATCGCCGTTGTCACTTGGTCCACTGCTTTGACCCTCGGTCCATGATTTGGCTCGGCCACTGCTTCTCTTTCATTTCTTGGTTCCTCCGGTTGCCTAACCCCACGGCCACGACTAGCCCCATGTTCATGACTACGTCTTCCCTCCATACCCTTCTCTCTCTCTTTTTTTTTTTTTTTTTTTTATCAAAATAGGCTATATAGTACATAAACAAAATAAATCAGCTAAACCGGCAAGATAAAGACATTTTCAAATCACAAAACCGAAGATAAGGAATCAAGCGTAGTGTAGTTATAGCACATCAAGTTCATACCTAAGATAGTGTACATATCAAGCTGATCAAAACCAAAACCAAATATAAAAGACAAAAGCAAGTACCATACATATTATCATTGGCGTGTCAAGGGTAAAATACATTCGGTGGCAACGCAGTGACAAAACAAGAAAGGAAACAACATGTCGTTCTCGAAATTCTAATCTTTACTCGTAAAACTCAAGTCTGCAACCTCCAATTTACTCATGGTTATTGTCAAAGCCATACCCAAAAGATACTACGGCTACTCACCCCCATAGTATCCTTTCCATTCTTAATCGGAGAGGTCATTTTACGTTCACCAAAAGAATATATACAAGATTAGAATCCAAACTCTTTTCTCCAAAACTTCTATACCTAATCCAAAACTCTCAATCTGGGCAAGATAGGAATCAAAACCAAATCCCTACTTTTACATCGAGGGGTAGGTATCAAGGAAGCATAGGCAAGGATAGTCAATCAAGAACCAAATTAAAAGGAGATAGGTCTGCAGTGCTAGCTTCTCCAACATGCATGACAATCTAACCACCGGCCATAGAAACCCTAACCAACCAGTTACTGGATTAGTCTCTTATAGCATTCATCGATCCGTTCTCCTCAATCAATTCAATTCCTAGGTCACATATTAAAATCTTCCATGCGTTAACCTTTTCCATTCATATCTACCTCAAGGGCAATCATGATGTCGACTCTCATCTAAATGCCCTCAACTCTTGAGTACTCGAGTACAAGAATTCAAAATAAAATAATTTACAACTCGATCCAGTCGGTCTCAAGAGTAAATCACTTATATTAGAGATTCCTACTTGACGTACATATCTATCTTTTTCAAGTATCCTGACAGAGGTTTTACGTTTATAACATTCATGATTCACAACTTATGCTCAAGAAGAGTACTTAGTCCTTTATACTCATTCACGTAATTGATAGATCGGTTATTTTGCACACTTTGCACCATTATTTTGTCCTAATTATGGCTTCTCATGGTGCTAAGAATTGGGATTTCGCTCATATTTGGTATTTGTGTAAAGTGTAGGTGGTTGGCGTAAAAAGTGCTCTCGCAGGACAAATTTCTAGAAGACTTTTTGTCTCAGGGCGTGCCCACGCCAGAGACCGAAAAAGGTACATCAAAAGGATGGACCCGCGGGCTTAGTAGCAGCAAAAAGTGGACAATTAGAAGGTCGGGTCCACGTGGACCGGATGCGTGGGATCGGAACCCTTGGACAAAAGCCTTGCTTCTAATGTGATTCCCACTGGCGGCGGCTTCAGATAGAAAAAGAAAAAAAAGAAAAGGCCGGCACGTCTGATTAGGAGATTAGCTTTTGCTTCAGAGGGTCAGACGTTTTTTCCTTTCTTGCATTTGAGCGGCCAATAGGAGCAAGGCCAGATTCACGTGTAATTACTAGATTAGCTTTTTGGTTTTTTTTCCTCTCTTGCTTCCGTCTTCAGTACAAATATTAATGCAGAGACAAAGGAAACTTTTTCTTTTCTTTCTTTCGTCGCAATTCCATCGTTCCAATTTCTTTGATGACTATGTGCATGAAACCTACCAGCACAGGCGTGATTGGCATGATGAGAAGCGGCTAAATTTTTCCTCTACCCAAAAGTCGACGCGAAGGCACGGCCCATAATATTTGTGAGATCTAATCGAATTTTCATTATTTCTTTCAATTTGTCACTATTCGTGCGTTCTCTGAATTAATTGTTCATGGTTATTTTATTAATTAAATATCAACGGTCGGGTATTTGATTTAATTTAATAGCCTACTGTCACATTAACTAAATTGAATCCGTAATTGTTCGTTTGGTTGATAACTAGTGATAACCACCATAATTGGTTTTATGTTGGGGAAACGCAGGATCTGATTTAAATACTCTCTCAGCGTGTTTATTGGTTAGGATTGGGTTCTTCTAGTTCTAATGCAACTGGATAATTAAATTCCTACGATCGTACCTAGGGTTGGTATCTGGTTAGAGAAACAGTCAACGGTCGTATCTTGGCTGTCGAAAAGATAAGGAAGAATTGGTTATCAGAGCTTGTTGATAGCTATAACTAACCTAGTGATAAATGGATGAAATATCGTTGCATCGATGATCATTTAATTGGACCATACCTGAGCAGTTGATCTTTTGCATAGAACTTTTATTAATTGTTAATTTTAGTAAATTGTGCTTTGTGAGTTAGTTTTGAACTTTGTTTGTTTTATTTCAATTTTTATTTTTATTTGCCTCACATTATAAATCCCCCAATTTCGTTTTACTAATTTGGAAAGAAATAATTTCCTACCCGCTCCCTGTGGAATCGACCCTACTTGCCATTGTACGCAAAATTAATATTTTTATAGACAAATCTGGTATATCGAATCAAGCAAACTCTTCAGGAATAGGGTGAATCAAGTAACCCATTGCACACCTAGGGTCACTGCTCCAGTACTTGGATTTGTTCTATAATTAATTGTGGTGATAATTAGGACTTTTTTTTAGTAATTATTATTGTACAGGTTCGGCACCTGTCAATTTTTTGCGCCATTGTCGGGGACCGGTGTTTTGGTTAATTTTGTTTCTTTTTAAATTATTTTATTTGGATTTGTCTAGCATTTTTCTAGTTTATGCCTCGTTCTTCTCGCACAGGTGAGTTGATTTTCGATCCGGAGGTAGAAAAGACTGCACGCCGAACTAGAAAAGAGACTAGGCAACTCAGAGAGGAGCAGTCTAGCATAGCTTCTCAGGAACTAGATTCAGAGATCGAATCATCAGATTCAAGTGGTGATAGTTTAAGTGACCAAGGCCAAGAGGACACCCTTATGGCGAATGCAAGAACACTAAGGGAGTTGGCTGCTCCAGAATTGCCCCAACAGCCCTTATGCATCACTTTTCCAACATTAGCTGAAAATACCTCATTCGAATTGAAGTCAGGGCTAATTCACCTATTACCCACGTTTCATGGCCTCTCGAGTGAAGAACCCCATAAACACATCCAAGAGTTCGATGTGGTATACTCCAGTATGAAGCCTCCAAGCATTACAGAGGAGCAGATCAAACTCAGGGTCTTTCCTTTCTCCCTTAAGGATGCAGTAAAGGATTGGTTATACTACCTACCTGCAGAAAATATCACAACATGGGCCCAACTTAAGAAGAAATTTTTGGAGAAATTCTTCCCTGCATCCCGGGTTGTAAGTCTGAGAAAAGAGATATGCAGCATTAAGCAGTATCCTGGAGAGTCTCTATATGATTACTGGGAAAGATTCAATAAGTTGTGCACTAGATGCTCACAACATCAAATTAGTAAACAACTATTGAACCAATATTTCTATGAGGGATTCCAATCGTCCGACAGGAGTATCATTGATGCTGCAAGTGGGGGAGCATTAGTGAACAAGACACCAAGGGAAGCATGGCTACTTATTGAATCGATGGCAGAGAATTCTCAACAGTTTGGCTTCCGTGAGAGTAACCCTACCCGTAGGGTCAACGAGGTAGAGACGTCGTCCATTCAGCAGCAGATATCGGAGCTGACATCTTTTGTACGACAATTAGCTGTGGGAAACATGCATCAAGCAAAGGCCTGTGGAATTTGCACAAATATGGGCCACCCTACTGACTCCTGTCCTATGTTGCAAGAGAATGGGGCTGAACAAGTGAACATGACTGGAGGCGTGCCCGCGCCTCGAAAACCGTACGACCTATACTCCAACACGTACAATCCAGGTTGGAGAGATCACCCCAATTTCAGTTATGGGAATAGGCCACAGAATTCATTCTCTAATCATCCACCAGGATTCCAACAACCGTGGCAACAAAAGCCTCAACCCTCGTCCTCCAACTCAGGGAGTTCCTTGGAGGAAATTGTCAAGAGTTTGCCCACGACCACTGCTCAACTCCAGCAATAGACTAGGTCCTTGGTCGCGAGCACTACTCAGTTTAAACAGGACACCAAAGCAGGTATGAAAGACATGGAGACTCGAATGAGTCAAATGGCAACTGCCATTAATTGCCTGGAGTCCCACGTTTATGGAAAATTGCCATCACAGCCTGAGGCAAGCCCCAGAAACGTAAACGCTATGACATTAAGGAGTGGCAAAGAGGTGGAGGGCCCTAAGGCTACAAACCTGAAAAGTAGGAATGAAGATGAGATCGAAAAGAAGATGGAAGAAGAAGGACGCATCTGTGGCAACCCTGAGGTAACTCTTACTCCATCTGTGCCCATTAAATTCAATTTACCCCATTTTCCATGTAGGTTAGAGAATGCGAAGAAGGCGGAAAAAGAGAAAGAGATCTTGCACGTGTTTAGAAAAGTGGAGATCAACATCCCTTTGTTGGATGCAATCAAGCAAGTACCAAAATATGCGAAATTTCTCAAGAACTTGTGCACTGATAAGAGGAAGTTGAGAGGGGATGAAAGAGTAGCGGTAGGGGAGAACGTGTCGGCCATGCTCCAAAGGAAGCTTCCACCCAAGTGTGAAGATCCAGGTATGTTCACAATCCCCTGTAAGACAGGGAATACACCAATCAGGAGAGTCATGCTAGATTTAGGGGCGTCAATTAATGTGATGCCAAAAACTATTTTTGGTTCTCTAAATCTTGAGCCACTAAAAGAAACAACCATTATAATTCAACTAGCTGTCCGCACGAATGCCTACTCGGAGGGGCTAGTTGAGGATGTCTTAGTCCAGGTAAATGAATTAGTCTTTCCCGCAGATTTTCATATCATGGACATGGGAGATGAGAAATCATTAAACCCGTCGTCTATCTTGTTAGGTAGATCTTTCTTAGCACGGCCCGTACTAAAATAGATGTGAATGAGGGTACTTTATCCATGAAATTTGATGGTGAAACTGTGAATTTTAATATTTTTGAGGCGATGAAGTATCCAAAGAAATCTAACTCAGTCTTTGCTTTGAGTGTTATTGAGCCGTTTGTGTAGGAAGCTTTCGAATTGGATGGCAAAGACGCATTGCAAGTGGTCCTAACAAAGCATCTTGAGTTGGGAGTGACCCCTGATGTGGACGTAAGGGACGAGTTACATCGAGCAATTGAAGCATTCCATTCGCTCCCAATCATTCAACCCAGGTATGAGCTCACTTCCCTTTTTGTATCGGAAACTCACGCAAAATTATTGCCATCGGTGGTGCAGGCACCCGAATTAGAACTCAAACCTCTCCCGAAACATTTGAAGTATGTATTCCTGGGAGATAGGGAGACACTTCCTGTGATTATTTCTGCTCGTCTGTCTCCAAGTCAGGAGGAAAGACTGGTGCGACTCCTTAGAAATCACAAGGAGGCAATCGGGTGGAGCATAGCCGATATCAAAGGGATAACCCCGTCCTTATGCATGCACCGGATAAGACTCGAGAATGATGCAAAGCCGGTGAGGCAAGCACAGCGAAAACTGAACCCCTTAATGATGGAGATTGTGAAGAAGGAGATACTCAAACTCCTGGAGGTGGGGATCATCTTCGCTATTTCGGATAGTCCCTGGGTGAGTCCGGTTCAGGTGGTCCCGAAGAAAGCGGGAGTAACTGTAGAGGAAAACCAAGAGGGTGATATGGTCCCGATCAAGAAAGCTACTGGTTGGCGTCAGTGCATTGACTACCGGAGACTAAACTCTGTGACAAGAAAGGACCATTTTCCTTTCCCCTTTATTGACCAAATGATTGAGAGATTGACAGGGCGTGTTTACTATTATTTTTTAGATGGTTTTTCAGCGTGCTTCCAGATCGCGATAGTACCAGAGGACCAGGAGAAGACCACGTTCACTTGCCCATTTGGTACGTTTGCTTACCGTAGGATGCCTTTCGGCCTTTGCAATACTCCAACAACTTTTCAAAGGTGCATGGTAAGTATTTTTTCAGAGTATGTAGAAAAGATAATCGATGTGTTCATGGATAACTTTAGCGTATACGGGGATAGTTTGAGGAATGCCTTGACAATCTTGCTTTAATTTTAAAAAGATGCATAGAGACGAATTTGGTACTTAATTGGGAAAAATGTCACTTTATGGTAGATCATGACATTGTCTTAGGGCACGTTGTGTCGGTTAAGGGAATAGAGGTAGACAAAGCTAAAGTAAACCTTATTTCTGCTCTACCTTACCCCGTATGTGTATGGGAAGTACGTTCGTTTTTTGCCCATGCAGGTTTTTATAGGCGATTTATCTAGAATTTCTTGAAAATTGGAGCACCCCTGTTCAGGTTACTGCAGAAGGACGTGCCATTTGATTTCACTGGTGAATGCAAGATGGCCTTTGATACATTGAAAGAGTCGTTGACATCACCGCCCATCATTCAACCCTCAGATTGGATTCGGCCATTTGAGATAATGTACGACGCTAGTGATTATGCCGTAGGTGCCGTGTTGGGGCAGAGAATAGGCAAGGCGGCGCACGCGATCTACTATGTATCGAGAGCATTGAACGGAGCCCAACTCAACTACTTCACGACTGAGAAAGAATTATTAGCCATTGTTTTTGCACTAGAAAAATTTAGGTCATATTTATTGGGTGCGAAAGTAATTGTTTTCTCTGACCATGCAGCCTTGAAGTACCTGTTAGAGAAGAAGGATGCAAAATCGAGACTCATCAGGTGGATCTTGCTCCTGCAGGAGTACGATTTAGAAATCAAGGACAAGAGCGGGGCCGAGAATTTGGTGGCTGACCATTTGAGCCAATTGCTCACGAATAAGGAAGACCTGCCGTCGAGAGAGTCATTTCCTAAGGAGCGATTGCTAGCCGTTGGTGCGTCCGTACCATGGTATGCCGATATTGTAAATTTTTTGGTAACGAATCAATTGCCCACAGGTTGGCCAAAGGCTAAAAGAGATAAACTGAAGAGTGATGCCAAACATTATATTTGGGATGACCCCTACCTGTGGAGGCAATGCTTGGATCAAGTACTTAAAAGGTGTGTAAGTGCAGTAAGTTTCAGTCTATTTTGACTTTCTGTCATTCGTTTGCATGTGGAGGGCATTTTGGTCCAAAGCGGACGGCTCGTAAGGTGTTAGAAAGTGATTTTATTGGCCTACTCTCTTTAAGGATGCATATTTGTTCTGCAAATCTTGTGATAAGTGTCAAAGGGTGGGGAATATCTCTCGTAGGGACTAAATAAGTCAAACCCCCATATTATTTGTTGAGATTTTTAATGTCTGGGGCATAAATTTCATGGGTCCTTTCCCCTCGGCCTTTGGTTTCCTATATATTATACTTGCTGTCGATTATATTTTCAAATGGGTGGAGGCAAAGGCCACCCAAACTAATGATTCGAAAGTGATTGCAGATTTTATTAAATCTAACATTTTTGTTCGCTTTGGAATGCCAAGAGTCATAGTTAGTGACAGGGGCACTCATTTTTGCAATAAAATGATCACTGCTTTGTTCCGTAAGTATGGTGTGCTCCACAAAGTATCCACTTCCTACCATCCGTAGATAAATGGTCAGGCCGAAGTGTCAAATAGGGAGGTCAAGTCAATTCTAGAGAAGATGGTGCGGCCCGATAAGAAGGATTGGAGCTTGAAGTTGGAAGATGCTCTATGAGCCTATCGCACCACCTATAAAACTCCAATTGGAATGTCTCCATACAGATTAGTATTTGGGAAGCCATGCCACCTCTCGGTAGAATTTGAACATAAGGCGTTTTGGGTACTTAAGCGGTGTAACATAGACTTTATGGATGCAGAGGGGCATAGAAAGCTCCAATTACAAGAATTGGAAGAATTAAGGAATGAAGCCTATGAGAACGCAGCAACTTATAAGGAAATGAGCAAAATCTTTCACGATCAACAAGTCTCAAGAAAATCTTTTATAGTAGGGCAAAAAGTTCTACTTTATCACTCGAGACTTAAGCTCTTCCCGGGTTAGTTGCGTTCACGTTGGATTGGTCCATTTGTTATCTCAAATATTTTTCATTATGGCGCAGTGGAGATCTAAAACTTAAAGACGGAGAAGAAGTTCGTGGTCGATGGTCATCGTTTGAAACCCTATTATGAAGGGTTTAATAGTGAACAAGTGGAGCTTATATTCCTTAATGATCCAAGTGGTGAGGTCTAAACAACTGATGGCCATGTCAAGCCAAAGACATTAAAGAAAGGCGCTGCTTGGGAGGCAACTCAAGCATTACAGTATTAGTGGGATCATTTTTCATTATTTTACGATTCTTCAGTTTTATTTTTCTATTTTGATTGGTTTTGTGGTGATAAACAGAAAACTAGGGGTTCCAAGGCGTGCCCACGCCTTGGAAGGAGTGCACCTGGTGCCCTGAGCAAATTGAAAACTGGCAGCTCCAAGGCATACCCACGCCTTCCAACCCCTCCGATAACGAAAGTTAAAAAAATTTTTTTTTGACCAAGATCCTACTTTTCCACTTTTTGTCTAATTTTTGCCCAAATTCTTTTGACTGAGTACTTCTTCTTCCTTCTCTTGTCGTTTGCCGTTGACCTCCGTCTCTCTCCCACTCTCTCAGCCGCCATCACCACCGCCCTCGCAGCTACCTCAGCCCCTGCGCCGCCGCAGGCTGTGAGGCCAAACAGATCCATAGTGTACGACAGCGCGCGCGACTAGCTGCCCTCTACCCTGCGCGCGCCCAGCAAGTTCAGTCAACAGTAGGTGCGCCCAGTAGCAGCAGCGCGGCCCAGCGCGCTTCGTCACCCGCGCGGGTGACCCAGCAAGCGCGGTTCTCTTCCAGTTGCGACTCGCACGCAGTAGCGACCCACAACCAACCGCACGCGACGCCCTTAGCAGCGCGCATCTCCTCTGCGCTCGACCAGCACAGATCGCGCGCCCAACCCCGCCCCAGCGTAGCGCGCGGACAGCAGACGCGAGCCCAAGAGCGACCTTCGTGCTAGCCCCTCCGCCAACAAGCACTGCTCCAGTGCACGACCAGCCATACGCGTGTGCGGA